TGATTGTCCGTTCATGAGTTGGACGTGGTGAGGGAGAGGGAAAGTCGCTAGGAGTGATGGAATGCCTTAATAAGCTGGTTTGCTCAGCTCTCTCCTGACGTGCCTCTTGAGGGTGATTGAACCGGAAGATATGGAAATCACCGAGAATGACTCGATAGCCGCTACGCAGTCGTTTGGGCTTCTCAATCCGTTGGCCGTTGACCATCACTGCTGCACCTTCGCGTGGCACCACCGTGACGATGCCATCCACGTTCTCAAATGTGCAATGCTCTTGCAGGATCTTCGACCCGTTCAATCGTATTTCCGCATGGTTGGAAGTTTCAACGTTGCCCACCGTTGTCGTTCCGGGCTTCAGATTGTAGACCAAACACTCAGCCAATAAAGGGTCGTCGCTCAGATTCACCAAATGAGGCATCTTCTTCGGCGTCGAAAGTCCGATGAACCCTTTTTCAATACTTATACCAAGCTCCTCAAGCGCAGCCTCTCGTTCTTTGTGAATTTGCTCAGTCTTCTGGAGCTTTTGTTCCCAGGTTTGGTTCACTTCTTGATATAGCTTCTCACTCTGATTCAGCTGTTCGATGATTTCTGCCTTGGACACTTTCTTGATTGTTCCGTCTGTTTGCGTAATTGAAACGATTTGTTGCTCTAAAGGTGTATCTGGAGGGTATTGTTCTTCAATAGTTGCTGAAGGAGAAGCACCAGCCGTGGCAGCTCCAGTAAGCTTCGCTCGTAGTTGTGCCAGCTCTTCTTTCAGCTCCCGAATCATGCGCGCATTTGGATCTTCGTTGACTACAGCATGGTTCTTGATACGCTTCGCCGAGTCAGCGTACCGTAGTGTTGATAGGGTCTCATCGAAGTTGATGTCTGCGGGCGATATGGCAGCGATCATAGCTGTCAAGCTATTCCCGCCTAGAGAATCTTTCAACAGCCAAGTAAGCACAGAGTCTCGGTACGGAACCTGGTGTCCCTTCTTGCTTTTGGCTGAGCCTGCATCTGCAAGGGCAGAGATTACTCGCCCAAGAGTCGACAGAGATCTGTTGATCTCGGCGCCCTCCTTCAGCCGCGCCCCAGTCGCACCTGTAGACGTTGCTCTTTCTGATCCAGCCAAATCTACCAGACTGATTTTGGCGACTCTTTCTGCATCCATATTCGTTTCCACATCATGTCGTTTTTGGGTGAGAGTAAGGGTAAAGACGGCGTGCGATCGACTTGACGTTTCGTTCATGTTCGTTGCGGCGACTGTTCTTGCTTTATTCCCCTCGTCCATCAGGTTCTCAATCTCCGCAAACGAACGCACAACCAGCTTGGCCAGATCCTCGACGTAAGGACCGGTAGCGGGATGTTCCCTGACTTTCAAGTTGCCTTTCGTCGAGGGATTGAGCAGATCGCGAACACGCTCGTTGTAGATTTCCAGGTAAGATACCTCAACAGTCGTGCTCGAATTCTTGTCCTGGCTCATTTCCTCTATTCTCTCGAACATGGTCTTACAAATCTGTGGGATAACTCCGTACTCTTTCCCGTAACCCATCATGGAATACGACTTCCCAGAACCCGTCTGGCCGTATGCGAATATACAGTTGTTGTAACCTTGGAAGGCATTGTCCAGCAACGGCTTGCCTAGGTCTGTGAAGAGATCGTCCTGTCCTGCAAAGTGGGGGTCCGCTTGGTCAAAAGACCAGTAACTCTTGTCAAAAGCGAATGTTTGTTGTTGGACCTTTGCGCTCTTGCCTTTGGCGTCTGCTGGAGGGGTGAGAACCGTCTGGTTTCCTTTCATCTGAACAATACATCTTGCGTTGCGGTCCTTTTCTTGTAGCTGTTAGCTGTTGTTAGGTACACAGAGCGCAATGGACCTACCTCTGCTGTTGAAGGGCCGCACCCGCACCACGACCTTTATGTTTCCGCCTGCCGACGCCATATTCAATAAGATGATGCCGTTCGCGCCGGCAGCTGTGGTTGATGCTTGGGCTTGTGTGTCCTAGCGAATGATAGTGTTAGGTGGTCATGTTGACGCGAAGGAGGTGCGAGCGCAATGTTTTGTTCCTGGATAGCAATATGGCTTTCGGCGATGAACCTAGTAGATATAACCAAGACACATGGTATGTCATCCAAAGGGGCCCCGGCCCCGGCATAGGGGGGGCCCCACATAAACTCATGGCTGTCGAGAGTTTTCTGCAAGCATGACTCTCTCGGTATCTGGAAAACCACCATATAACTCAAGGCGCCCCTCCCATATGCGCAACCTCGAGGCATACACGCCATGACCCACTCCGAAGATATGATGCGGCCTCCCGTAAACCGTGCTATGCGCGTTCTGGATCGCGCATTCTTTAGCAAGACAATTCCCATCTCCGCCGCGCGCGTATTCACCAACCAACACATATCACAATGCCGAAGGGATCTCGAAAAGAGCGCTGATCTGCTACAAGCTCCGAGGCTGTCAACCATAATTCAAGATCCAGATGTAGAGCTGGCAAAGCAAGGTCGGAGGTGTCTCCTCTTGAAGCCGGAGATTAAGCACGACGGTATATAGCCGTGAACCAGTAGCAGAACCAGGAGGACAAACAGACTGATTTCACTAGCCAGATATCTCGACGTGGAGTAAGACTATCAAAGGTTTGGTAGAATCCAAGCGCATCTCTCTCCTACCACACAACCTAAATCTGAAATATGACTATTGGGACTACCGTAAGGCGCAACCTCGTCTCTTGTGTCTGGCACACTGCTAAGCCCAGACCATAGATGACATCGTCACCTCCATCCTTCCGGAAGAGGAGCAACAAGAAGTCCCAAGCGGGTTCAGCGTCATTGGACATGTCGCCCACTTCAACCTCCGCTCCGAATACCTTCCGTACAAGCACCTCCTAGCCGAAGTGCTCCTCGACAAGAACCCAGCAGTAAAGACTGTAATCAACAAGGTTGAGAACGTCGGCACCGAAGACATTTTTCGAACCTTCCCATACGAACTGCTAGCGGGACCAGACGATCTGAACGTAGAAGTGAAAGAGGAGGACTGCCTCTTCCGATTCGATTTTGCAAAGGTTTACTGGAATCCGCGCTTACATGGAGAGCATCAGCGCCTTGTCTCGACGTTCAAAGAAGGAGAAGTGGTGGCAGATGTCATGGCTGGTGTTGGCCCTTTCGCCGTCCCAGCCGGTCGAAAACGAATATTCTGCTGGGCGAACGACCTGAACCCGAACAGCTACGATTCTCTCGTGGACGCGATAAACCGTAACAAAGTTGGCTCATACGTCAAGCCGTTCAACGAGGATGGGAAGACGTGGATCAAACGCGCTACATCGGAATTATACCACGGCGACGAACACAAGGTGGAAATTTTCTCGAAACCAAAGTCGAGATCGCAAGGTGACAGACCGACACTGGAGCGGACGATTGTACAACCCAAATTCTTCTCTCACTTCATTATGAATCTGCCTGCCTCGGCGTTGTCATTCTTACCAAGCTTCATTTCTCTCTACAGCAGTGCCAAGATACCTCAAGGATCGCCTCTGCCGAAAGTGCATGCCTACTGCTTTTCCACGAAATCGGACGATAATGTGCAAGAAGGAATCGATATCTGCAAGATCATATCAGGACATCTGGGATACAAATTCGTGCCGGGCGATGGAGAGACGGAAGGAGAGGTACTGATCACGGACGTCAGAGATGTTGCGCCGAAGAAGAGGATGTTCTGCGCCAGCTTTGTGTTGCCCGCAGAAATTGCTTGGAGACCAGTCGAACGAAATGTACAACACACGTAAAACGTGTGAAGAATAGGCAACGGCAACGGCCTTCTGTGACCAGGAGAAACAGAAATCTTCTAGGTCTATCACAACTGGTACAAGTTCAGGGATGTCGCGGACGCCAGAAGTAGTGGGAAAGGTCGTTGATGGAGATTGAACGTTGTTCAAGTCAAAGTGATAAGGTCCAGTGGACTAGTAGTCAATTCTGATTTGAGGACAAGCAGAAATGGACGAATCTATGTGATCAATGATCAAACCGATGCCTGACAAGTCTACAACTAGATATTCCCCCATAATTTGCCTGTCCTATGTGCTTTGAAAAAAAGGCTCACTTGTAAACTCTCGCTGCCTGGGAACCGCTTTGTTCAACCGGGGCTGGGCAATGGACCGGTCGATCGGCTTGCGATCATCCTTGTCATCACACGGGCCTACAACACGACTAATCGACGTGCTGGCGTATCTAACAGGTGCGTGGTGAGCTGGATAGTCCCGACTTCGAGTCTGTCACACTGTGGTATATCTACCTAATTGCAACGGATTAGCCTCATACCATAACAAGAGAGCAAGAGAATAACAAGTCGCTGATATCTCAATCATACATCCAAGGAAGGTGCATTGAACGCTCAGTTTGTGCTGCGCATCCTTCTCCTTGCGGAGTGGGTGTGGACGCTAACAGCTCGCGTGGAAACTGCGAATAGGAAAAGGTTGAATCATACGAGATGTGTGCGGAAGGAAGCGGGACTGGTTACTTACATTGTACATGAATATGTGAGGTGTTGGTTGTTGTTGTGGTTGTGGGAAGAGTGTGTACTATGTAGAGAAGTTGCGCAAACGAAAATTTTGGAGACTTTGAGGACCCTGCAGGTGCACGTCCGGCAAAAGAGGGTTCGTCACCACGTGACCGACAGTCCACAAATGCTATACTCATAGCGTGCGCGAAACTACGCAGTCAGACCATTAAGATTATTACACCTACGCCCGGAGGACAGTTGGCACTTTCGTCCTTTTATCCCGTCAATTCTCCATTTTACCATGTCATATGAAACCTCCATGGAAAACCCAAAAGACATAATCAAGGATCAAGAGCTGGCATACTCTCACATCGGTTTCTCAATTTGTTTCTTGACTGGGCCAGCAGTGGCATCACATCGAGAAATGCAAGGGCAGAGAGACTTTTCATCGCGCAAGATCCCAACTGCCCCAGGCAGCTCTTTATGCGTTCAGCCAATAGCAAAGCATTCGGCTCTGGAGCCCAGATTTGGTGTGATGGCCGAGTGGTCTAAGGCGGTGGTCTTAAGCACCATTATCGAAAGATGCGTGGGTTCGAACCCCACTCGCACCACAGTGATTAATCCTACGCCTGGGCGTTTTCATTTTGTCCTCGAGATGAAAGAGGGTGCCTACTTTTTCCTCAGGCATTCGTTTTGTCAATGAGTCGTGGTCCGGGTCCGGGTGTCAAGAACCTAAGAAGTGATCGCGGACCCACACTGTTTCGGAAAAAGCGTCGGAAAAATTATTTTTCGTCTTAATTTTGACCGTGCTGATCTACGTCTGAAGTATACAGGCCTATTTGCTTTCTTTCCTGTTTTTCCGTGCTGCTGCGGACCTCCTTCTTCATTACGTATGTGCAGGACTTGATCACTTTGTGGATACATCAGGCGCATTTAGTTGTGTGTGCAGCATTGGGCTCACATTTAATGGACGTTTACCATAAGACCAGCACGAGAAGAGGGGAATCAAGACATTTTAAATAGAATGGACATTATAGACCAAAACTATACGTTCCAACCCTGTAGACCAAAACTATACGGTAAGCCCACATTCAGGAGCCTTGTAGTTTTGACACTTGAGCTTTCCAGCTCCAACAGCGATCGATTTCAGCACAATATTCTTGCAGGATGATGCCGTGGAACACTGTATGCTGCCGATCATTCCTTTCTTCCCCTTTGCAGTCCCGGTGAAGTCCGTCATGAAGATGTTCTCGATCGTGACCTTGCTCGGACCAGCAGCACACTTCGCTGGATCAGGCTCGCCGTAACATTGAGTGATGGTGATGGCACTCTCGACCCCTGAAACCTTGAACTTTTCAAAAGTGACGTTGCTGACACGGCCGCTTCCACCACCACCAGCCCCGACACCCGACATGGTTCCGTGAAGAGGCCAGGTCTTGATGCGGGCGCCGTTCGAGGCGTTGCTCATGGAGACGTTGTAGACCATGATGTTTTCGACAATGTCGACTCTGTCTGCGTACTGGCCCAAGGAGCCCACAGAGGCGCCGTGGGAACCTATACAATTGGTGTTTTGCACGACAATGCCAACGCTGCCAGGCTTGAAGGCAATGCAGTCGTCGCCGTTGCTGATGTCTGAGTTTTGGATCACGATGTTATTGCTGTTCAGTGTGCTAAAGGCATAAGTTAGTTCGTGTCTGGTATATGGAAGAACGAGAACTCTTACTCCCAGCCGTCGGAATTCTTGGCCTTCCCGTTGATCTTGATGTTGTCGTATACAACATCCTGACTGTCTTTGACGATGTTGTTCCACTGAGGAGTGTTGAGGAGATTTATGTTGGAAATCTGACCTCCCTTGAGACCATTAACTGCAAAGAGAATGGGTCGTATTCCTTTCCCGCCCCAGGCAGCACCATTACCATCAAGACTGCCCCCACCGTAGACATTGATATCACTACCGCCAAGCTGGAAGAACGAAACGGCATTCTGGAATGTGTGCTTGAAGGCGTTGGCGGTCCAGTAAGGAATATCTGGTGTAAAGACAATTTTTCCCTGGACGACTGTTCTCGATGTGAGTATATAAGCCTCTGTCTGAAGATCAACCACAACTTACCCAGATCAATCTTGGTTAGGTTGGTCAAGTCAAGCGCTTTTCCAATCGTGTATGTTGTTCCCGCGGAAAAGACAACTTTGCCGCCATTGATGCAAGACTTGACGGCAGAGAGTATAGCAGCAGAATCCTCAGTAGTTCCACCTTTGACGATGCATTCCCTGTCTCTTGGCGCGGACACCGGCATAGGCTTGAACGGAGGTTTTGGCCCAATTGCAATCTTCAAAGCTGGCGTAGGCGCGCGACGGACTAGGAATCGACGCTCATGAGCTACATCGACATGCGATCTCGCTAAGACGCCCGCGAATAGCGAAAGAAGAGTGAGTAAGTGCAACATGCTGAATGAATGTCGTTGGATAGACCAGAATGAATGTCGTTGGATAGCACCGAATGAACGTCGTTGGACGGACCACAAGTTCACGCGTCCTCATCTTCAACTTATCCGTTTCGTCATCCCCGTCGGCCAAGAAGTTAAATATACATCGGTACAAAGTCCTCGGAACTGACATACATATGTCCCAGATGCTTGTACAAGACACGGGAGTAGGGTTTGTCCCGATTCGTTGGTTGGTCTACGCTCTGGTTATTCGAGACAGGAAAAATTTCACACCACTTATTAAGGAGCAAGCGACGTAAGCCATTGTCTATAAACAGGCGAAAAACCCTACGTTACTCGTATTATGTGAATCATCATTGAGCGGTTTGGTGACCGTCGTAAGCAGAACGGGAATCTTGACCAAAGAAAATGAACGTCGATTGTTCCCGAGTTTCAAGATTGGGGGGGCGATTGAGATTCCAGGTTCGTATTTAAGCCAACAGGGTTCTAAGCACATGCTTTCTCCAGAGCAGAGATTGATGAAGCCGGAGATTCATAAGGATGGAAGACATTGAAGGTTGACTAGGGGAATTGACGAGGACGAGTTCAAGAAGTGACGCGTACGTTCACTCTGAGATGAGGTGGTGACGACCTCGGGATGCTGATTGAATGCTGACTGATCTACAGGCACCCCGGGCAGTCATCATGCCCCACCGCATTTGGATGTAAGATTTTATGTCTTGAACAGTCACAATCGCCCGCTACAGTGATATCACCGGCATACCATCGTACAATATGACTCAACCGAAAGTCAGCGATAAGATGGCTACTTCAGCAGTGCTCCGATTTCAACTCTCCATCCCCAATCACCCAGATTGAGCAACACCAATTCCCTTCTTTCACAGACCAAGCCATCACAATGCCTCTCAGGATTCTTCAGATCACGGCAGATGATGCTTCCGATCTCCTCGAATGGGGTCACATTCACTATGCGGCCTTCTCTCCCTCGCCAGCCGGCTGCATGTGGACCAGGGAACCCTCTGCAGAATCCTACCGCAGCCTGGCAGATACTCGTCGCAAGAATCTTCTCTCCAATCCCAACAGTCGTGTCTTCAAATGCGTAGATACAGACCTGGATAACAAGATCATAGCCGTGGCAGAGTGGTCTGTTCAAAAGGAGGAAATCACACGAGAGGAATTGGAAAATACATTGGTTTGTCGTCCACCATTTCCGGAAGAGAATAGAGCTGCGAGGTTAAGTTTCATGGAGAATATCTTCAATAGTAGGAGGGAGCTATTGGGAACACAACCGCATGTTGATTTAGAGGTGCTTGTCACGCATCCGGATCATCATCGAAGGGGTGCCGGGAGTATGTTGCTACAATGGGGAGTGGATGAAATGGATAAACTTGGCTTGATTGGGTATCTGGAGGCAAGTGCGATCGGAAATCCGCTCTATGAGAGGTTTGGTTTTGAAGGAGTAAGAGAGTTGAATTGGGATACGAGGCCATACGGCGGCACAGAGACTGATATTCATACTGTACGTCAAGCATTCGAACCAGCTTGAATGGAGAGTGTGAAGCTGACCTTGCACAGGTTATGATTAGGCAACCAAAATCTCCTATTCACGCTTAGAAGGAGGAGACCAGGCCGCGCACAAGGGACGAAATCAAGACCAATACATGAAGTAATGACAAGTGGTAGCGATTTGAATTTTTCCAGTGATGAGCCTTCGTGGGATTATTTGACGTATGAAGAAAAAATGATGGGGTCACCTTGGGTTAGTGGACACGAAGAAATCCAAACGCCAAATTTCGGTCTGCTTTGCAGTCCCCTCACACTGAAATCCCATTCCTGTTGACCCATCGATTCTCTCCCAATTCGTCCTCCCAAAGATCGACATCGTCCTCAACCGGCAGTGACATTCCTCCCATGTGGTTAATGTCATGTGGAAACCGTTCAACATCCCGGAGTTCCGTGGCGGCTCCGTTCCAAATCACAACAATCGCTGCTGTTGTTGGCCAAAGTGCACCGCTCAGGCACTGGTCCCTGTAGCATCAAATCACTGGGGTAATCTCGTACCATCTGCTCTCGGGGTTGGGACAATGTGACCTGTCCCCACCTCCTGGTTTGCAGAGTTCTCGGCAGCAAGTCGAGCACGTTCAGCTTCTCCGTCAATCTCACATGGAGGATTCCGATACCATGGTGGTACATTTCGGACTTTCTTCTTAGTACGGGTTCGCCTCAGAGGAGTCGCTCGAACTAGCTCCGCTTCTTCCCACCAGAAAGCACGGTTGCAGTGGATGCCTAGTCATGTGAGTCTCTTTCTTATCGAGGTCGCTAAGCTGGATGACTTACATATCATGGAAGGACAGCCGCCATCTTTGATTACAGCCAAAGAGCAATGAGGGCAACGACGAGCCTTCTGCTTCTGGAGCATCTTCAATGTAGCGGTCTCTTCCGTCGACCGGACTTCATCCACGTTCTTCAGGCGATATTCTTGACATGTCATCTCCGTATGCCATGCAACCGAGCAGTTCATACAGTGACGGACCTTGCACGCATGGCACTCGAGCTGTGGATAACCTGGTCGGTCCGTGTCCACCCACGCAGCTACGCCACACTCTTTGTTCAGACAATGTTTGATCATCTTGTTCGTGGCCGTGAAGGTCCTGAAGAGTAACTCAGAATAGCGCGTGGTATCTTCCATCGACAGGTATGGGATAACATGATCCGTCGAGTCCCAAACAGCATCACAATGCTCGTCCAGACATCCAAGGGATTCCACTGGTTTGAGATCCAAGCTTGCTGATAGCGAGTTTCCAATGCATTCTTTGCAGACAGCACCTTGCTTATTCCATCGACTAATGGATAGATGCTTGGCACACGACTGTGGAACTTCGCCTGGTGGTAACTTAGGTGGTAACCAGGGACGGATGGGATCGGTGATTTTGCGCCGCCCACCGGCTGCTTTGGGATATTCCGATAGAGGTTTGTGTTCAAGACAGATACGACAGGTGAGTTCCTGTGGCTGCACATATTTTTCGGCCGTGCCTTTGCGCGCTTTCCTGGACTTGAGTGGGTAATCCTCGCCACGACGCTTCCGCTTCTTGCTAGGCGCGAGAGCTGGACTGAGCTCTGCTTCTGGTATGTCCTCCTCTGAGTTCGTCTCCAACCCAGTCAAAAAT